AACAAAAGTTTAACATTGACAAGCATCACAGTACCGTACATAACCACTGTAGCAGCACTACAATATAAATAAAGTTCATGGCCATAATTAAGCACAGAAAACGAGTTGCTAAATTGAGTGAATAATAATAATACTTTGCAATAATTGGTAGACAGATTGCAGTTCACTTTGTTGATGGTCTACTATTAACTTTGTCTTTGTAGATTCGGGCAATGACGAAAATTACAAGGGAAAGAAGAATAGCAACGGGCCCGTAGCTGCAAAAAGTAAGTCTTAACTTTGGTCCACTCTCAAAATACTCTAAATACTCAGGAAAGAAAAATATTTCAATATCTTTGTTTTGCAGGCCATTGGGTTAGACAAAAATAACCTGTCACATTATCGCCCTGACAATCATTCCTTATTGACATCCCAGTATTTTTTGAACATTGCTTGTACGCAATAATTAATTACACAAATGGTTCACTATTAACTTTGTCTTTCTAGATTTGAGCAATGACATAAATGAAAAGGGGAATAAGAATGAGGATAGACCCACAGCTGCAAAAAGTAAGTCATAACTCAACTTTTGTCCATTCCACAAAAAAAAAAAAAAAAATGATGCGTTCCTAGCAAAAAACATAATTCATTAATTTTTATGCAGGAAGACAAGATATACAGTAATATAGTATACACAATGTTTGTGCACAGTGTAGTGCAGCACTTGTTCTGCACGATAGTGGGGAAGACTATATTTAGTGCAGCAACTGTTTACTAATTTGATTGGAAAAATTTCCTTCTATTTATTTTTGTTTCTTTCACATCCAAAGTATGCAACTCGTGCATTATTATAATCATGTTTTACAATTCATATTTTTTTTATACAGGAAGGAAGGGAACAAAACTCAATGCCTGTGTTCATACACAACTCGCCTTCACATTTAACGGGTATGAACCAGCGAGTCGCCTGCGGCCCTACAACCAAACCTCGTTCATGCTTTGTAAATTTAGTGGGTAGTTAGAAGGTCACTTGCTAATGATGTTTATGTTATCACCGGCGTCAGCTTGCATTATGGGATGCGATGTCGGGTCATGACCTTTGCTTTTGACAATAACAAACCGCAACCGCGCGAAAATACTGCTACCGATCGTGAATTTCTATCGTGTGCTG